CTCCGCATCGTCCGGTGGCACAACGTTGCTCATCGCCTTCGTGGTGTTCTTCTTCCTCCTGGGCGTCGACCTGGTCAAGTGGCGCGTCTTCCTCTGCAGTGCTTGAAGCTGAAGTTCGCGATGTGCCGTTGACGGCAACACCATCTCCTTCGCCTTCCGGGTCTTCGCCCCCGGCCCCCGTCCGCGGCGTACCTTTTCCTGCACATCCACTTCGGCACCGCCTGCACCCTGGGCCCCGCCCGCTCCGGCTGCCTGAGGCCCCGCTTTCCTGTGCCCTGTCTCCATTATTTAAGCTGTGCGTAGCCCGCTTAGCTTTAGCAGAAGAGGTTCGCTCTCGCCCCGCGGATCGGGGGGGGGGAAAAACTGTTCCTTGTTGATGGACCGCGCGAGGGGGGGGAGGCCCAAAGGGGCAGGTTTAGCACGCCCTGAGCGGGTTGTCTGAATTGCTGGGGTTTGGGTTAAAATTGGCACCCCTCACGCAGATCGGCGGGGTCAGGGTCCAAAAACACATGGGGTTTGCCACATGTCTGAAATTTGCTGGCACCCCTCACGCAGATCGGCGGGGTGAGGGTCCAAAAGCTCATGGGAACTTGCCACATGTTTTACATTTGCTGGCACCCCTCACGCAGATCGGCGGGGCCAGGGTGCAAAAACACAGAAGCTTTGCCACATTTCTGAAAGTCGCTGACACCCCTCACGCAGATCGACGGGGTCAGGGTCCGAAAACACAAGGGATTTGCTACATTTCTGAAATTCGGTGGCACCCCTCACGCAGATTGGCGGCGGGGTCAGGGTCCAAAAACGCATCGGATGTGCCACATGTTTGAAATTCGATGTCACCCCTCACGCAGATCGGCGGGGTCAGGGTCTGAAAACCCAGGTGATTCTCAACATTTCTAAAATTCGGTGGCACCCCTCACGCAGATCGACAGGGACAGGGTCCAAAAACACAAGGAATTTGCAACATTTCTGAAATTCGGCGGCACCCTATCACGCAGATCCGTAGGGTCAGGGTCCAAAAACACGGGAGATTTGCCACATTTCTGAAATTCGCTGGCACCGCTCACGCAGATCCGTAGGGTCAGGGTCGAATAACAAACAGGTCCCGACACTGCTTCACGGCGGCGCCCAGACCTCATGATTTAGCTTTTGCATCTCCCATTATCCGAGACAAGGGGCCGGCGGCATGGGACGAAGCCCTTACGGACAAGAAAATAATCACATGACGACGATGTGCTGGAGGCCCAAACTGTGCTTGGCGCCCCCCGCCGCGAAGGCCAGGCCCCCCGACGCTGCTGTGCGACTTGGCCCGCTTCCGCCATCTCACCGGGCCCGGGGAGGGGGCGACTTTTCTCCTGCTCTCACCCGCAAGAAGCGCCTCTCCTCCCCCCGTCGTCGTCGGTGACGGAGGGCAGAAGGCGGGGCAGACGGGTTGGTGTGGTTCGCGGTGGTGGGCTGGTTGGTGGGGTGGCTGGATGGGCTGGGTCGTGTGGGCTAGGGCAACTGATAGATTTCGGTGAACTTCCCGGGGTCCGCGCGGACTTCCTGGGTCGGCGCTGCCCCCTTCCCCTGGCACACGCAGCGGGCCGGGGGCCAGAAGCGCCGCGCGGGGGTCTGGCGCTGACCCGAGAGAAATCCTGGCGGATCTCCGAAAATCTATGCCGGGATGGAAAGTGCTTCCTCGGCGGATCCGGGGGCGCGGATGAAACCCTGGGTCGCCGCCGGAGGCGGCGCCAGGGTGGCCGCCTCAGACTACTCTGGGAACCTGTTGAGGCCAGCCAGGGACTGCTTCGCGGGGCCGTCCGCACGCATCCCTCTCCCGAGCCCGACATTGGGGGAGGGGCCTGACCAAGCCTTCAGGGTAGTTATCACAGCGCCAGGCTCGCAGTGGGCGCCGACGGCGGCGGCGACCGACTCCGCCGCCGCCGCCGCAGTGGCCGTCGTCGTTGCGGCCGCTACAGCCGCCGTCGCCAGCGTCGTGCCTGAGATCAGGCGTTGCACCAAAAACTGCAAGACCGCTGGAAATGGCGACCGGAGCCCCGGACCGCATCTCTGTGCGACACTTCCTGGGCCGGATCGAGCCGCGATGGCCCCGAGGCTCGGAACCCGGGCGAGAACGCCAGGCGTGAGAGAGCAGACTGCCGCGCCCTGATCTCGGGTGTCGCCGCCGCCGGCGGCTGCGACCGACTCGGCCGACGCCGACTGGGCAGGCCTGTAAGATGGCGCCCGATGGGTCATGCTGGCCTAAGACGGCCGCCAGCGTGGCTCCCGGCGGCCACGGCCTTGAGGCTTTGAGGGTTACCTGCAGCCGCCCAGGGGTGCCCCCGAGACGCCCGCATCGGTGGCAGCACAGCTCGGCGAGAGGCCCAACCCTATGCAGCGGTGTGTCGCGCTGAGACTCTCGTCGGCGGCCCGCCTCAGCCGACGCCGACTTGCTCGACTTGGCCCCGGGGAAGCCCGGCGTCTCGAAGCCGAAGCCGGGCGTGTCGGCGTCGCGCGCCTCGGGCGGAGGCCGCGGGCCGCGCCGTGCGGCGGGGCCTCCTCCTCCTCCTCCTCCTCCTCCTCCTCCTGCTCCTCCTGCTCCTCCTCCTCCTCCTCCTCCTCCTCCTCCTCCTCCTCTCCTCCTCCTCCTCTCCTCCTCCTCCTCCTCCTCCTCCTCCTCCTCCTCCTCCCTCCTCCTCCTCCTCCTCCTCCTCCTCTCCCCCCCTCCTCCTCCTCCTCCTCCTCCTCCTCCCTCCTCCCCTCCTCCTCCCTCCCTCCTCCTCCTCCTCCTCCTCCTCCTCCTCCTCCTCCTTCTCCTCCTCCTCCTCCTCCTCGGCTGCTCGAGCAGCACGGCGCGCGCCCCACTCGCAGCCTCGTCCTCTCTCGAGAGAGGGGCCCTACGACCTCGGCCCTGGCTCCCTTGCTATCCATCGGCCCTGGGCGGTCTTCGGCGGTCTTCTGGCGGTCTTCGGCGCGAGCGGTGGACAGTTGCGTACAGCACAGGGCCCATGATCGAACACCAAGCTCGCTCGCGCCCCCCGCCCGCGGGGACCAAGAGACGGAGGGGCGGGGGCGGATGGATGAGATGCGGGTGGGGGATGTAGTTGATTGAAAATGTTTGAAGGCCTTGGATCCAGTCTGGGCTGCCAGACGAAGGGGGGGAGAGGGGGAGGCGGATTCAATGAGGCGGGGAAGAGGGATCTAGACTTTCGAGAGAGCGTGATCCACCGCTGCTTCGCTGTGGGAAATTCCCCCCCCCTCTTACTCCAGAGCGCCTGGGGGTCTCCCCCCGTCGAAAATGCCCCTTCCCCCTGCTCGAACCCCTCCCCCCCTACTCCCCCCCCTCCCCTGGCAAACCACCCTTCCCCCTAATTAACCCCCCCCTCCAGAAAAACCAAGGGGGTCACTACCGGTTCGAATCCCCCCCCCACTCGCCGCCGGCAAACGACTCCCGGGTCCCCACCACCGTCCTCAGCACCGACCTCACCACTGCACCACCACCACCACCACCATCCCCACCACTGTCCCACTGTCACCACTGCCCCCACCACCGTCCCACTGTCCCCACTGTTCCCACCACTGCCCCCACTGTCCCCAGCAATGCCCCCACCGCTGTCGCACTGTCCCCACTGTCCCCACCACTGCCCCCACCACTGTCCCACTCTCCCCACTGTCACCACTGCCCCCACCACTGTCCCCACTTTCCCACCACTGTACTCACCGTACAACTGTCCCATTGTTCCACCACCGTCCTCACCACCACTGTCCCCACCACTGTCCCCACCACCACCGTCCCCACCACTGTCCCACTGTCCCAACCACTGTCCCACTGTCCACTCACCACTGTCCCCACCACAACCATCCCCAGCGCTGTCCCACTGTCCCCACTGTCCCCACCAGTGCCCCCACCACTGTCGCATTGTCCCCACTGTCCCCACCACTGTCCCACCACTGTCCCACCACTGTCCCCACCACTGTCCCCACTGTCCCCACCCCACCACTGTCCCACCACTGTCTGTCCCACTGTCCCCACTGTCCCACTGTCCCCACCACTGTCCCACTGTCCCCACTGTCCCCACCACTGTCCCACTGTCCCCACCAGTCCCCACCACTGTCGCACTGTCCCCACTGTCCCCACCACTGTCCCACTGTCCCTACTGTCCCCACCGCTGTTCCACTGTGCTGTCCCACTGTCCCCACGAGTGCCCCCACCACTGTCGCACTGTCCTCACTGTCCCCACCACTCTCCACACTGTACCACTGTCCCATTGTCCCACCACCGTCCTCACCACTGTCCCCACCACCGCCGTCCCCGCCACTGTCCCAGTGTCCCCACTTCCCCCACCACTGTCTCACTGTCCCCTCGCCACTGTACCCACCACCACCGTCCCCACCACTGTCGCACTGTCCCCACTGTCCCCACACTTCCCACCACTGTCCCCACACTTCCCACCACTGTCCCCACTGTCCCCGCTAGTGACTAGTGCCCCCACCACTGTCGCACTGTGCCCCAGTCCCCACCACGGTCCCACTCTCCCCGCTCCCCACTGTCCCCACCACTGTCCCCACCACTGTCCCCACCACTGTCCCCACCACTGTCCCCACCAACCTAATCCCCACAACCATCCCCACCACTGTCCAACACTATCCCCACCACCCATCCGGCTGGGGAGGAGGAGGAGGAGGAGGAGGAGGAGGAGGCGGAGGAGGAGGAGAGGAGGAGGAGGAGGAGGAGAGGAGGAGAGGAGAGGAGGGATGAGGAGGCGGAGGAGGAGGAGAGGAGGAGGAGGAGGAGAGGAGAGGAGGAGGCGGAGGAGAGGAGAGGAAGGAGGAGGAGAGGAGGAGGAGGAGGAGGAGGAGGAGGAGGAGGAGGAGGAGTCGTTGCGGCGAGGGGGGGTTCGAACCGGTGTGACCCCCCCCTGGTTTTCCGGGAGGGGGTTCGAACCGGTGAGACCCCCCGTTTCCGGGGGGGGGGGTCGAACTGGTAGTGAACCCCCCTCCTTTTTCATAATGGACTGGGGGGGGTTGGGAACCCCAGTGAACCCCCCCGGTTTTCGAAGGGGGGTGGCGGGTTGGAAACCCTGAGTGACCTCCCCAGCTTTCGGCCAGCAGCGGCAGAACACGCTCTTTCAGACTCTCTCTGGTTGCCGGAAGCTTCAGGAGAGCGGATGGGAGAGAACAGAGGAGGCGGAATAATCAAGGTCTTCAGTCAGTACTTTCAGGGTTCTGCACGTTTCAAACCAGCTTTAGGCTTCCAGCCGGGGGTGGGGGGAAAAGGAGGTGGGGGGTGGCGGATGGGGGAGGCCGATTGACACTTCTTGTTTGAAGGGGCCCTGGGACACACAAATAAATACACACACATAAAAAGATTCCCCATATTTTCCCATATTTTCTGGGTTTTTGTCTTCCCCCCCCCACTTCCCATATTTTCGCATATTTTCCTGGGAATCGAGGTTTAATTGTGTCTGTGTGTTTTTGTTCCCTCCTGATCAGAGGGGGGGGGAGGGGGGCAGGCGAGGAGAGGCAGGAGAGGGTCGAAGGGTGGAACTCCAGACGGGGAAGGGGCCCCACACAGGGGGAGGGCAAAGGAGAAGCATCTGCACAAGCCTAAGCCGTCTGAGGTCTGCGCGGATTCCCTGGATCGGAACGCGCCAGGGGCGGCACCGCAGGCGCCGCCAGGAGGGCTCGATCGAAGAACTCCACGCGGACCCACGAAAACTAAGATGCGAATGCAAGTGTTTTTCCTCCTCCGTTTTCTTCTTATTATTTTCTTATTACTATTATTAGTATTGGTATTATTCTTATGTTTCTTCTTATGTTTCTTAGTATTATTATTATTATTATTTATATTAATGTTCTTGTTCGTATTCTTCTTCTCGTCATTATTCTTTTTATTATTATTATTATTTTTGTTATTATTCTTCTTCTTCTTCTTCTTCTTCTTATTCTTCTTCTTCTTCTTATCATTGCGATTCTTATTAGTCGGAGGTGAGGGGTTGAGATCGAAGTGGAACGGAGAGCCCCCCTACCGGGAAATCGGTTTCAATTTCGTGTTCGTGCGTGCCGTGCGTGCGGGCGAGGCGAAGCTGCGTGGGCAGGCGAGAAGAAAGTCTCCTCTGGCTGAGGCGCGGCCGCACCAAATGATTCCTGACCGGGGGCCAGTGGCACGCGGTGTCCCGCCGGTGTCCCGCCTCCGGCTGAGGCGCGGCCGGACCAAATGATTCTTGACCGGGGGCCGGTGGCGCGCGGTGTCCGGCCGGTGTCCCGCCTCCAGTTGAGGCGCGGCCGGACCAAATGATTCCTGACCGGAGGTCGGTGCCGCGCGGTGTCCCGCCGGTGTCCCGCCAGTGTCCCGTCGGTGTCCCGATGATGATGATGATGATGATGATGATGATGATGATGATGATGATGATGATGATGATGATGATGTCGACGATGTTGATGATGAAGATGAAGATGAAGATGAAGATGATGATGATGATGATGATGATGATGATGATGATGATGATGATGATGATGATGATGATGATGATGATTATGATGGTGATGGTGATGGTGGTGATGATGATGGTGTCCCGATGATGATGATGATGATGATGATGATGATGATGATGATGTTGACGATGTTGATCATGATGATGGTGATGGTGGTGTTGATGATGGTGTCCCGATGATGATGATGATGATGATGATGATGATGTTGATTATGATGTTGCTGATGAAGATGATGGTGTCCCGATGATGACGGTGATGATGATGTTGATGATCCTGATGGTGTTAATGATGAGATGGTGATGCGATGATGATGATGAAGATGATGATGATGATGATGATGATGAAAATGGTGTCCCGATGGTGATGATGATGATGATGATGATGGGGTTGATGATGATGCTGTTGATGATGACGGTGATGATGAAGGTGTCCCGATGATGATGATGATGGTGTTGATGATGATGACGATGATGGTGTCCCGATGATGATGATGATGATGATGATGATGATGATGAGGATGATGATGAGGAGATGATGATGATTTTGATGATGATGGCCCGACAATGGTGATGATGATGATGCTGATGTTGATGATGATGATGATGGTGTCCCGATAATGATGATGATGATGATGATGATGATGATGATGATGATGGTGATGATGATGATGGTGACGATGATGATGGAGTCCCGATGATGATGATGATGATGATGATGATGATGATGGTGGTGTTGATGTTGATAATAATGCTGATGGTGATGATGGTGTCCCGATGATGATGATGATCATGATGATGTTGATGATGTTGTTCATGATGATGGTGAGATGATGATGATGGTGGTGTTCCGAGGATGATGATGATGATGGTGTCCCGATGATGATGATGATGTTGATGATGATGATGATGGTGACGATGAGGGTCTCCCGATGATGATGATGATGATGATGATGATGATGATGATGATGATGATGATGATGATGATGATGATGATGATGATGATGATGATGATGATGGTAATGAT